TATAGATAGATATTGAGGAACAGGAAACATATTAAGACCATATGTTGTGTTGCTTCGATATAATCATCATCGTTATCATATCAACGAATGAACAAACTTTTAACTCATTACAAAAGGATTGTGGGTGTGTGTGTGAGTATTTCTCTGTATGTGTGTGTAATGAACTTACCACTGTAAACAGTCTTCTCGTCCTGCCAATGCTAATTTAACAATATCCGCAAACACCGGATTTACAACCCAATCGTTTGGTTTCTTTAGCTGAGTTGCCTTTGATGTTGCTGCCACTGCTGCTATTGCTGATGAGGATGATGACAAACTATTCGAAACCTGGGAATATGTAACTAACGTTGTCGCTAAGGATGCAGATGCTGGTAGAGTATTGGCTGAGTTGTCGGAGTTTTGGCGATGATGATTAAATGCAATTGATGCTGTTGGCAAATGGTTGGCAGATTTTTTCAAGCTATCCATATACTGTGGTTGTGTTGCACCAACCGGCGATTCGACATCAACAGGCGATGCCAACAATATTGTCACATTACTGCTGATGGGAGTCTTTATTTGAGATGAGCCCCACTATGAGGGTGGTGCCGTTGTCGATCCATCATGGGATACCGCACTTAACACCACCGATGATGTTTCCGCTTCAGCATCAACTTTTATATTCGCCGTTGTGTCCTTTAATGCCCTGCCGACGATGAGTTCGAAAGAATAGTTGTATTGGTTGTCGGTGGCCCAGCTCATGTCGCGGCGGCTGTTGATGATGATCATTCTGAAGCTGTTAAATGGGTATCAGTTTTTGTTGGTGGTTTTGCTGCTGCTGGAGTTGATACTGATGGTGATGATTTTCATTTAAGACTATTGCCTGCTTGTGCCACAAATTCGCCTGCCCATCCGCATGACGTTGCATACAATCTAATTGCTGGCATGTCACTTGTAATTTACTCCACTGTATTGTGTGACAAAATGGGTGATTATTTCCATTTAAGACAGTTGATGACACCGATGATGGATATGTAATGGAAAAAATGAGAGAGCAGAAAAAACTGAAACAGAAAGTGAAAACATTTGATAGACATTCTGAAATTTATATTGGGGGAATATTATCGATGGGTATGTGACAACAGTAAAACAATTGATTTTTTTTATCTGAATTTTTGTGATCATTTGAAAAGTGATTTTAAGTGATTATTTATACTCTTTCGAGTCGAGCTTGATGATCTAAATTTTGCAATGAAAAGGAAAGCCAGGAGAAGAACCTACGTACCCACCATTATGCGACGCGTTTCGCCGTTGGTTAAGCGGCTCATCAGGCATATTGGGCTATGTGGCTTTACAAAGGTCGTACGTTGATAACTTGTATTTATTTCGCCCTGATGCGAAACATGCATATGCGAATTAAATTCAAATGTGTCAAAGTTCGACATTTGTCTTCATTCTAGGAACAGTCCTTTTCAAAGCAGATTTTTGTTGTAGCGATGGATAATTAATCCACACACCTACAATTGCTTCCTGGTATACACATGTTTTTGCGCAACCGTTTTTGGAAGTGTTGATGGCTCAAAAAATTAATTTCAGCCGAGCACGGCTAGGGCTCGAACCTAGGTCCTCAGAGCAACACAGATGTTGCCAAGACCGCTTAACGTTCTGAGCCATCAACACTTCCAAAAACGGTTGCGCAAAAACATGTGTATACCAGGAAGCAATTGTAGGTGTGTGGATTAATTATCCATCGCTACAACAAAAATCTGCTTTGAAAAGGACTGTTCCTAGAATGAAGACAAATGTCGAACTTTGACACATTTGAATTTAATTCGCATATGCAAGTTTCGCATCAGGGCGAAATAAATACAAGTTATCAACGTACGACCTTTGTAAAGCCACATAGCCCAATATGCCTGATGAGCCGCTTAACCAACGGCGAAACGCGTCGCATAATGGTGGGTACGTAGGTTCTTCTCCTGGCTTTCCTTTTCATTGCAAAATTTAGATCATCAAGCTCGACTCGAAAGAGTATAAATAATCACTTAAAAACAATTGAAAAAAAGAAATTTTATTATTTCGTTATTTTAGTGATTAATATAACACAGTGTGACTGTAGCTCACAATAAGAATCTTAGGACCATTTCTTGTATACACGCAATGTGGTGAAGGATATCATAGAGTCGGACCTGTCCGGCTTTTAATCTTTCCCTACTGTAATTTTGTATTTCATTTTCAGAAATAAACACCTTACAAATAGACAGTTTACAATGAAATTGTTTCCATATGAAAGTCCCGAACTTTTTATGTAACTTTGAATCCGTTTTGTTTTATCCATCTGTTTTATAGTTTGTTGTTATCCACAAAAAATTGATCAAAATTGCTTAAATTTTTTAAATCTGTGTAAGACTATTTGCCGAAATCAAAAAATATCATCACAAAAATCGATTATTATGAACTAAAGTCATACAAATATTTCAAATCATAATTCATCCCAGTGACTCATCAACATATATGCTACAAATAAACACATACCTACGCACACAAACACATTGGAAACTGCAAAAATCAATATGTATATATGATGATCCTTGAATCTTCATTAACGCATTCATGTGTTTGCCTTTTTGAGTTTGTCATCATAACGTCATAAATCTTGTGATTGACATTTATGGAAAACAAAATTTTGGAAATAGGGAAAATCAACAACAACATTGAATTTTGCCTTTTGTTTGCTTATGAATGCAAAAAACGTGTTAGCTACGCAAGAAGAAGAAGTAGTAGAGGAGAAATATGATATCAAGGATGACATTGATATTCAAAGTATTGAGGTTCGGAGCGGAGCGGGGGGAGGATAATAATAATGACTGTGTTGATTACGCAGCGATTTCATTACACTTTGGTTTGTGTTTAAGTCGTTGGTAGAAGCAAAAGCTCTTAGTCACACACAAAAGACCCACCCAACCCAAATAACTTCAAGGTGAAAGTCGGTCTTAATTTTTCTCTATGGTGATGGTGGCGCCGGTATTTCTTTTGTTGTTCGTTTTTTTTATTATAAGATTTATGATTGTGATTTTCTCTTTCCAGTATTCGTAGTTTTTCAAATGGTAAAAGTCACACAAAAGCTTGACAATGCTGATTGAATGAATCGTTGGCCACACGGCTTTGTTTATTTTTATGAAATAGTTGAGCATAACAGATACAAAGAGAATTTGTATACCTTTTACCATAAGGAGTTATATGGGTGCTTTCTTAAAACGTGGTCTTACAGTATAAATTGTATCTATATATATATATATATATATATAACCAGTAAGGAAAGTAGTAAAGTCGGACGGGGCCGACTATATGATACCCTTCACAACTATGGGTATTTAAAAAAACATCCTAACAGAAGTGTCATTAACATGAACATAAATATGTGACCTTTATCTAAATGTAAATCGACTTAGATCAATCCATAAACATGCAATTCGTTTGTTACAATGGGACAAAATTATGTGAATCCATTTGAAGTAAATAACAATCGGGTACCCGTTGAATATTTGGAGCCCAATTAACACGAAGTCGGTTGGAAATATATATGGGTAACATCAGTACTTCTATATGTAATTACGTCATTCTATTCTAAAAAAACATGAAGAGTCCGGTGCAACATTTAAAATCGGATGAAAATAGATATGGAAGCTATATCAAAATATGAACGGATTTCAACGAAACTTGTCACAGGTTAGGTTAGACCTATTGTCCCTAATGGACATATTTTAAGCCCTTGGGTCCTACTTAAAATCGGACGAAACTATATGGAAGCTATATCTAAATCTGGACGGACTCCAATAAACTATCTTAAGTATGGTGTGCAAATCGGAAGAAAATATATATGGGACCTATATCTAAATCCGAACTGGTTTCAGCAAAACTTTTCACATGTTATGTTACACAAACTTTAGTACGTGGTTGAAAATTGTGTGGGAATCGGCTTAACTTTGGGCCTTAAAATCGGACAATTTTCAGGAAACTTTACAAACATCATTCTACACTCAATTCAGTACGCTTTGTCAAATTTCATGCAAAATTAAAAAAAAATAATAAAATTAAATTGGGCAAAAATATATGGGAGTTACATCTAAAACTGAACCCATTTTCAAGAAACTGAACACACATCATTCTAGATTTAATTCAGTACGCTATGCGCAATTCCGTGCAAATCGAAGGATATATAGGGACTTTGGTGCACCATTTACATAAAATCGGACGAAAATATATATGGGAGCTATATCTAAATCTGAACCGATTTTCACGAAATTTGACACACATTGTTCTAGCGTTTATTCAGTACGCTATGCCAAATTCCGTGCAAAATGGAAGGATATATAGGGACTTTGAAACACTATTTACATTAAATCGGACGAAAACATATATATGGGAGCTATATCTAAATCTGAACCGATTTTCAAGAAATTTTACACACATCACTCTTGACTCAATTCAGTACGCTATGCCAAATTTCGAGCAAATCGGAAGATATATACGGACTTTGGTACATCATTTACCGTTTTTTCCCAATTTCAATAGGGTTCGTCCTTGGGCCAAATAAACGATCTGTGCCACATTTCATACAACTCAGATCATAAACGCGACCTGTATTTTGTTTAGAATTTAACATGTACAGACAGACGGACGTACGGACGGACGGACATGCATAAATCGACTTAGAAAGTTATTCTATGCATATTCTCAAAAGGAACCATGTAAGTATCTCGTTTCCTTTTGCCTGTTACAAACATATGCATAAATATAATAATAGCCTTTACCACAGTGTGGTGAATGGTTTAAAAACGAATTTCTGTTTGTTTGATCAGTGTTAACTACTGAACAGATTTTTATGAAATTTTCACAGTTGATTTTTGAGTAGATTATGGTAACATAGGGTACTTAATTTTTTGATAGGGGCAGGGGAAACAATAGCCCCCACACAAATTGCCCCCTGTATTGGATAAGAATTGGTAATTTATAGCAAAATGTTAGTAAATATACAAACCACAGGTATAGATTATACAATGGTGAATATACCTTTTTACCAACTCCACAAACCTATTTTCTTTAAGTGTTGCCAATTCGCAATTTTTATGTATGAATGTGATGGTGGAAATGACAAGGAGTGAGTTGTACTGAGTAAGAAGTGCAGTAAATTATTATACTGTATACCCAAATTAGACTATTCACAAAATGTGATATTCGCCCATGTGCTGCATTTCGAGTTTGCTCGAATGTGAAAGATTTTCCCAAATTTGGTGTGCTCCATTCCGAATTCCCAAAAAAATAATGGGAATATAATTCGACCACATATACCCTTGTGGATTGAAAAGTAAATGAGATCGTACGTGTTTTTCTAAGTACATACGAGTTAAAAAAGAACGCAGAAGTAATATTTATCGTGTTTTTACAATATTTATTAAAAAAATACAGTATTTACAATAGTTTTTTCTAATACAATTAAAGAAAATAAAATAGGTTCCTTTTATCAAGAACAGCGCGTAACATTTTTTGAGATCAATCTGGCAACTCAACCACCATATGATCAAAATAAAAATAGAAAATATAGAACACGTATTAGTTTGTTCTTATACGCGGAATATCTGAGCAACATGTAAGAAAATTGTTTTGTTTTAGTTAAATTTCTCAATAACTTTACATATATATTAATTTTACCTATAGGGGGAAACACAAGAACAGCACACAGGATAACATTTTTCTAAATTTTATGCGAAACAACCAGGACATAGCCAGAGGATTTGTTAAAGGAGATAAAGTGGTACAGGATAAGCTTTGGGCAGATTTATGTGACGAGCTGAACGCTTCTGGCCCACCAACAAAAGACATAGCGAATTGGAAAAAGGCTAGTACATATTCATCATAAATAAGTATTGTATTTAAACCCATATCTTGTAGGCTTGGATCGACTGGAAAGGATCGACGCAATAAGTTATGCCACAATAAAGCCGAAGTCCGTGCAACTAGAGGAGGCAGTTTTAACCAGTATGTGTTGACACGCGCGGAAGAAGAGCTAGCCCAAATATGCAACATATACAAAGCTGTAGATGGGATTAAAAACACCAAAAGTTTCGGGACTACAAAAACAACCTGTGACGTGGATAAAGAAAATGTCAACTTCTCTACAGAACCAGCATCTCCACAATCTTCCTCGTCCTTAATGTATCCACGGCCATCGACCTCCAAACGAGCTAGAAATGAGGCTGATGTAAGCGAAATATTCGAAGAGATTGTTCAGTCTTCGCCCTCGCGACTTTCAAACTCCAAGCGTCCTCGAAATGCCTCTGATTTAACTGCAGTCGTAGAAGAAGAGAATAAGCTGTTAAAAATATTGGAAATAAGCTTGCTGAAATCGTCAAATGCAAGGAAGAAGATCAGAAGCATTTTAAAAGCATTGACACTATTCTATCGGATATTCGTTGCATTAAAAAAGAAGAAATTCAAGAATTGAAGAGGCATAACATACAAATTGAGCGAAGTTTAGCAACCAAAAACGAAATAAAGCTCAAATATCTGGAGCTGGAGCAGCTTAAACTTGATATGACAACAAGCTCAGACAATTTTTAACATCTGTGCAGCTATCCAATGTTTCAAATGATTTCTCAGTGTACCTTTTTAAAAGTATGTAAAATTTTATATACACATGAATTACATTTAAGTTTTTTTTTACGTTTATTACCTTCAGTGAATTTGAATACTGTTTTTTTTTTGTGTTTATAATTTATGTAATTAACTTAAAATTATAATCTGCTGGTGTTTCTTATTGAACTCGCAATATTATTCCTTATGGCTCTACTCTCATTTCTGCTATGCATTTCCTCTAGATTATGATAATCTTCCTCCACTTCTGGTTCGGGGACAAATCCTTCTTCAAAGGGGATGTTGTAATATTTGCACACGTTATGCAGCGCACAGCAAACGTTAACGATTGGCAGAACCTTTTCGGGACTATAATGTAAGGCATTGCTTTGTAAACATCGAAATCTACTTTAAGATTTCCAATAGTCCTTTCGATAATATTTCTGGCAGATGTGTGCACTTTATTATAATGATGTTGACAAGATCCATGCTCCACTTGTTTATAGGGCGTCATCAAAAATGGTTCTAATGCGTAACCACTGTCTCCTAGAAGCCAACTATTGTGCACACCATTTGCTCTTTTGTTAATGTAATGCTGCCTAGCTGCACTCATCCTGGTCTGCATCTGTCCACAGCTCGAATTCTCATTTTATAATCACACACCTAACAGAAAATGAAAAATTAGTTTTACGATTATCTACATTGTTTTCCTTACAATCATTGCATTTATACTGAAGTATCCTTTTCTATTGTAGTATAAAGATGAGTCTTCATGTGGTTGAACTATTCGGATGTGTGTTCCATCTACGCAGCCTATAACTCCAGGAAAGCCAAAATTTTCATAAAAATGCAATTTTGATAACCTCATTTCATCTTCACTCAAATTAATGTTTATCCACGCTGCACACACTTTGTCTTCCAGGATATTAATTACTCTCCACAATATTTTACACATCGTTGTGCGATCGACACTTATATTTAAGTCATTTGCCACTACCCTCTGAAACCCACCAACAGCCAGAAATCTTAAGGTACCTGCTAACTGCAGGCTTTCGGGAATGGAACCCTTGTGTATTAAAGGACCAACTTCTCTCAAAATATCCATAAATGCTTCTTTATTTATCCTGAAAAGAGACACAAAACTATAAAAATTATTGGTAGCTTAGGGCCTTGTAGATAATGATCAAAAATACTTACACAGATTCAGGCATATCCGTTGGGTCCGATGCGTCCCTAACACGTTTAACACGTTCAAGTAGCATTAATCTTTTTCTGGTAGAAACCAGGGCAATTAATAAGCCAGCAGGCATTTTTTTCTTAATTTTGTTGGCAAACAAATTGCAAATTCCAATGAAACATATGTTTTTTATTGAACACAGTTCGTAACATATTGAACAAAGCTAAGCTTTCGAGCCGCACTTTCGCTCGAAATTGAGCAAACCATTTTGCACAACATGGAAATTTAAAAAAGTATGGGAATTCAAAAACTCTCGGAACATGTCACATGGGCGATTGTGTCCTATTGGTTGTATTTGCTTAGCTTTTTATACCCTACACAACTATGTTGTCAGGGTATTATAGCTTTGTGCAGCCCCAAAGTCCTAGACCCACCTTTAAGTATACCGATCGTCATATCTCGACTAGCTGAGTCGATCTAGACATGTGCGTCCGTCCGTCTGTCCATTATAATTTGTAAACACGATACAGGCCACAGTTATGGACCAATCTTCACGAAATTTTGCATGTAGGATGGGTTCTGGCCAATGAAGACCCCTATTGTTTTTGGGAAAGATCGATTAATATTTAGGGGGTGTCGGTTTTTCTGGTCGCTCCAGAGGCCGCAATAATGGCCCAAACATCGTGAAATTTTCCATGGAGAAGGGGATCAGGCCTAAGACTAAGCATGCCTGTTTTCATAAAGATCGGTCAATATGGAGAAGGGGATCAGACCAAAGACTAAGCATGCCTGTTTTCATAAAGATCAGTCAATATTTTGCGGCTCAAATATACCCTGACTTTTGTGTGAAAAATTACAAAATTTGTATTCTATAGCGTATATATTTACCCCTGAAGGACATAGACCCGAGAAGTTTATATTATATCCAAGAGGAGTGGTTGACCTTTAAATTAATACCAATTATATTTTTGTATGTGCTCGGATGTAGGAGTTACACCTAAATATTTACAGGTATCTCCGTATTCGTATATTATTTAGTAACCCATTATCACTTTGAAATGTTCCATGAGGTTCCAGTTATAGTCAAGGACAACGCCTATAATTTTCGGTGATGATCAGATAATAATTTTGGAATGAAGTGGACCGAAAACTTAATTTTTTTGTGTTATTATCGAGTCGATCTATAGACCACAAATGAAAGCCGAACATCACAACACAACCCGCGGAGAAGGGAATCTGGACAATAGATGTACTGAATACTCGTAATATTCGGAAAATATGTCAGTGTGAGGAAGAGGTGCTGTTTACCACTAATCGGACAAGAGGGTGCAAATATCACGAAATCTTGTCCAGGCTCGGAATATACATCCGCAGAAAATTTGAGTTCCGTGGTAGTTGTGTAGGGTATCGTATGGTCGGCCCCGTCCGATTATACTGCTCCGCTCACTGGTTCCATATACAATTTTGTATGATAAGATAACATTCTTACATTCTTAAGGAAAGTTCAAAAGTCGGACGGGGCCGACTATATGATACACTTCACCACTTTGGGTACATACAATAGATGCTAATATCTATCCTGTAGATAGAACAGGCATAGAATCTTTGGAGGACCATTGAGATGCAATCGGGTGAAATTAAATGAGCTCTCTAGATACATATTTGAACCAATACCAATCTCATACCATTTTGAAATCAATGAAACCACTTGTATGAAATCGAGTAAGGTTATTTATGGGGGCTATATATAAACACATGGGCCTCATTGATCAACAGTTGTATTTATTTGTTATCACTCTATATTCAATTTAATACCTTCTGCCAAATTTCGTGCAAATCGAACAAACATAGGCCCTTGGGTGCACCATTTACATAAAATGGAACGAAAATATATATATGACATGTATCTGAAAATCTGAACTGATTTCCTCAAACCTTATCAGACATAACTTTTTCCTCAATTGCATTCGCTATGCAAAATTTTGCTCAATTGGACAAATATTGGGAGTTTGGTGTATCATTCCCAAAAAAATCAGAAGAAGCTATATATGGGAGCTATATCTACATCTGAACCGATTTCACCAAAACTTCGCAGATATTAATCTGGGCCTAATTCAGTACTCTGTGCGAAATGTTGTCTCACTCGGACAAATATTGGGAGTTTGGTGTATCATTCACAAAAAATCGGACGAAACTATATATGGGAGCTATATTTAAATCTGAATCGATTTTAACAAAACTTCGCATACATCAGTCTGGACTAAGTTCAGTGCTCTGTGCAAAATTTTGTCTCAATCGGCCAAATATTGGGAGTTTGGTGCATCATTCACAAAAATTGGACGAAATTATATATAGGAGCTATATCTAAATCAGAACCAATTTCAACAAAACTTCGCTGAGATTAAACTGAAACTAATTCAGTACGCTGTGCAAAATTTTGTTTCCATCGGACAAAAATTGGGAATTTGGTGCAACATTTACCTAAAATCGAACGAAACTATATATGGGAGCTATATCTAAATCTGAACCAATTCCAACAAAATTTCTCATACATCAGTTTAGACTTAACTCAGTACTCTGTGCAAAATTTTGTTTCAACCGGACCAACATTTGGAGTTTGGTGCAAGATTTACATTAAATCGGACATAACTATATATGGGAGCTACATCTAAATCTGAACCGATTTTCTCCAATTTCAATAGGGTTCGTCCTTGGCCAAAAAAGTGACATGTGCAAATTTCATCAAAATCGGATAATAAATGCGACCTGTACTTTGTTAACAAAAAAACATGGATGGGCGGACAGACGGACATGCATAAATCGACTCAGAAAGTGATTCTATACATCTTCTCAAAAGTGACCATGGGTCTATCTCGATTATTTTTGCCTGTTACAAACATATGCACAAATACATAATACCCTGTGCCACAGTGTTCACCACACTGTGGTACAAACGTTGAAGAGAATAGTGTGTATTTGAATTATAAATCGCTTGAAAATCTATAATGCACGTTAAAAATCGTCGACTGGGATAGAATCAATACACCTTTAATTTTCTTAAGAAAATTTCCATTTTGTGAAGGATGTAACAGATGGAGGCGATCGAGGTTAATATATAGTTATTTGTCCTATTAAGTGTCATTATATGTACTGATAATAACAACCAGTTCAGCAATTCAGCTAAACTCCTCTCTATTTTCATGTTTTGTTGATAAAAGTTATTGACATCATAATTTTTGAATTTTTATCACTTTGCGAAAAAATTATACCCAACACAATTAATTTTACTATTGACATTTAACATGTGCATGTCATTTAGAATGAACTAGTCACATGGTCAGTAGTAAGTCAGTATTTTTTAGGTACAGACACAAGGTCACATATGCCACTTGTAAACATTTTATAATTTCTTTTGCTAATTTTTTTTCTTCACTAATTAATTAAATGGATTATCTAATAACATTTAATCACTCTAAAGGCGTTTTTAATAAAATTTCTGTGTGCTGCCTCCAAAGAAATACAACACCCCACATTTCCTTCAGGGAAGATAAAACACTTTAAGACACACACATCGACGGATGTGTGACAACCAAATTTTTTTATTCTCTGTCCGAATCTGACATATAGATTGTAAGATATCCGAGTGATTGAACGACAAGGCGTCAGGCTCCATTATTGATAACATAGGTGAGGGGACTTTAAAATATCCGCCACCAAATAACCAGTAAAACTATTCGCCACCTGGGGATATGAAATTAAGTTCCTGCTGAACATAATGGTCAATGGAGAATAGATTCTGGCAACCAATAAT